TTTTGTGGCAGACCTTGACCCCTACCTCCCTCTTGGTGGTTTCCTCTGCCGCCAACCCCCTGAGCGCCCTGTCCTCGACCACCAAAGGCCCGATCCCCTTGGCCCTGGCCTCTAGCTCTTCCTTGTGGCCTCCCTCCAGCCACAACAACAACAGAGGTCCTCCCCCGAACATTGCTACTGTCCCCCTCCTCTAGGCCCCACTCAATCTGGTTGTAGGGGACCTCCTCCATACCACCCTCATCTAAAGTAAGGATGAGATGATCCTTGGCCCTGACTTGGCCAGAGATGGTACAACATCTCCATTTTCGTGCCAAAAAATAGATGTTGGCATGGATTGGGCTTCGAACATCACCACCTCCCTACTCAATGTATCGTAGGTTATGGTGGGCTGTTTGCTCATTTCGAAGAAGTGCCCGTGCAAGGCATCAGGCATGGCACAATAGAACGATTAAATTAATTGGATCTTAGTGACCCCATGGCCAGAGACAGCAATTAACTCGTCCATTACTCCCTTGAGTGACCTGGGGCACTCTTCCACTGGCGAGAGTGGATGGTTTGTAGCTTGTCAGAGGCCCTAAGGCCCTAAGTGGCATCTGCAAATCTTTCATGAAGCAACTTGAAGAATTGAGGAAGGGGGGTGACCTTGGAATATGCTACCATGTTATTATCAACTGAGCAGCGCGAGCAAGCGATCTGGCGAAGCTAGACGTTTCGTCTTCGAGGGCGTGGAAAGCGACGAGGACTTGTTCCTCAGGTATGATCTTCTGTAGGTGGACGTACGAATTAACGTTCTCCTCCCAGTTATCGAAGTGCTCTTCCTTCTTCCCACTGTAGGAATCATGAAATTTCACCTTAACTGGCTCTCTACGGGGGCGAGCTTCCTCCTCCTTTGGAGTAGCAAGCTTTGCGCCTTCTATGGCGCCTGTGCGGAATCGCTCCGTATTTTCTAGTCTCGGTTTCATCTCTGTACCCACGTGCAACATCATCTCACGTGCAAACTTTTTTGAATCCCTGGCGTATGGATTGTAATGCTATATCCTGGCCCCTCACCAACTGGTACTGTTCCTGTTGGGCCTCTGCTAGGAGTTCTATATTCCTAGGCATAACATCCATTTTCCCCAACAACTCTGCCTGGCTTTCCATCTCCTTTTGCTGCTCACTTATCCCCCTCAATTCCTTCTCCATCTTACCTGCTACCTCCAATCGTTGCTTCTTCTCTCTGGTGAGGCGCAACTTCCACTCCAACTTTTTTTCGTCTTCGATTGTTTGGCGCCGTAGCGGATCCTCGTCTGCGTCCAACTCTCTTATCACCGCCTCTTGGTTTGCTCTAGGAACATACATCGTGACCCACTCTGAAATCCTCTTCTTCATGCACGGATTCTCCATCTTCGTGCCTCTCGACTCCCCAGTTTCTCATCTACTCTTTCTCTCCAAGGGGACTTCCTCCACTTCCACTTCTTCTACCGCCCTTAACTTTTCTTCTTCTTCTCTATGCAACTTCTTCATCTCCTCTTACAACTTTTTTTTCTACGCCGCCTGCTCCTCCAATAAGGCGTTGTTCTTAGCCTGCTTGATGAACTCCTTGGCCTCCTTCTCTCCTCTCTTTTAATAGGGCGGCGACTTGCTCTTCCTAAGCTTTGGTGTACTGCTACGCGTGTCCACCATGGTGAAAGATGCACAATCGAGTGACAGTTCCACTCCTCACCACTTAGATGTCCACCCACTAACTAACTAACTAACTGACTCTCTGAGGACCACAAAGTCCTCCCCTTTGCTCCAGCCAGGTTACCACAACCGACGAAAGCTTTCACCACCACTGTCCTTTACAAACGTTGACCCAGATGCCCTGCACCTGCGGTCAACCCACTTGGCTTTCACTGTTACGGACCCAGCCAGGGCTCGATCCCTGGTCCGTGGGTTACCACCCGCCAGACTGCTATTTCTTTTTTTTTTCGAGTCTCTGTTCTCCGGTGCCTAACTTGGCGCCCTCTGCATCTGGCGCCCGTTCTCAAACCTGCCTCTTGCACTTTTGGATTTCGATACTTGGGGCCATCCGACATTCTGGCGCCCAGGCTTAGACCGTCGATTTTCAGTTTACCCCGAGGCAAATTGCACTTCTGCCCTCCGAACTCAACTTGAGTCCTGTACTTGAGACCGGACTCGAGCTAAGTTCGGGGGATTCAAGTTTCCTCCTCAGTGCTTGTGCTTCAGTGTGACTTGCTGCGGCATTGTGTTTGGAATCCAAGATTGCGACTTTGAGACTTTGCGACTTTGCCACGTTGTGTCTGCGTCCCTCCAGTCGTGTCGAGTCCGTTTCGAGTTCAGTGAGTATGTGTGTGTGTGCTCTCACTCCCTCCCTCTCTCTTCCCCGACCTCGCTGCTCTGCCTCAGCCCCGTCACACAGGTATCGGACCGGCTTCGACCCTCCCTCCCGCCTTGATTCATCGTCGTCGCCATTGACCTCGTCGCCATCGTCGCCACGTCATCACCGTAGCCGTCGACCTCGTCGCCGTCATTGCCACGTCATCGTCATCAATTGCCTCGTCCTTGCTGCGACGTCACCGTCACCGTCGCCACTGCCATCGCCAATTTTTCCTTCTTTTTCTTCTTTCTCTTCTTTCTTCTCCAAGTTTTTTATTCTTCTTCTTCCTCTTGTCCTTCACCATAGCCGTCATCATTTTCTTTCCCCCCCTCCTCGTCGTCATTATCTCCCCCTTCTTCTTCCTCTTCTTCTTCGTGGCCCCTACCCCG